AGCAGTTTTCTTTTGTGACCTTTGCTTTGTGGAACGTATCAGGTCCTCGCGTCCGAGCTCAACCATTTTTGTTTCCCAAGACTTCATTTCGTTTTCGTACCGAACCTTATCGTCTTCGGCAAGCTGGAGGTACGGCTGCAAGAAAATTAGGTATCAACAGTCACTGTAAGAGCTTTGTCAGGGTAACTGCCATGTCACATCCTCTCCTTTCATACAAAGGTGACTTACTACAAGCCCTGCGCTCACTTTCGTCTCCAGAAAATTCAAAGAACATCAAACATGAACAAAAACACGAAACCGTAGCATTGAATTATGGTTATGTCAACAGACAGCCATCCCTGAACGGGAAAAGTTTATTCAATATTACTACTAACAGCTCAGGCTTTTTATTTGAGTGCCAGTCTGAGAGAGTTGACTTATGTAAGGAACAGGAATAGGTATTGCCGCAGAACTATTTCAAATTCTTTTTCTACAGGAAAAAACACAAGCCTAGTGCGTGTTCTAAGTACACATTCAAAACAATCTGAAGAAGCGCACACAGGAGGAGGGAAAGTAAGGTACAGAGTACTTGAAAATCTGGAGGTTTAGATTAGATTTCAGTATAGTACCCCTCCAATTTTCTTGTACCCATCTGCAGGTTCATATTTCAATACTCTGAGAAAGCTGGCAGAAAACTATCCTCAAGACAACCAAAGTTAATAAATTACTGTGTGCGCGTCACATGTAGATTTCTGTTCCTTTTACCTTCTAAAGTCTTTCCATGAGCAGCAAGTTCCTATGCCAGCATTTAAAAATAATATATATTATTGGAAAAAACTTGAATTGTTGCAAATTATTCCATCTTCCTCCCTAGATGCCACTCAGCACCCATTTCCAGGCATACAGAACTTCCATCCTATCCCACTCACACACGTTTCATCAACAATGTGAAAGAAATGGTCACTACTGGAATAAAAGTAATGACAATCTTTTTCAAGATGCATAAATACCATCTCAGAGTATTTTCCTCAGCATTATATTTTGAGCAGCCAAGTTCAAGATTTTGCATGGCTTTATTAATTTTGACTCAAGTTTGTAATTTTCCGATTGGATCGGAGCCTCACCAAAATCCGCTGACATACCTGCTTTTGAGAACTGGACATTTTTTGCCACACGCCAAATAATTGCTTCAGCTTTGCCTACAAGATACAGAACATGCAATACAGGGGGATTATTTTAACAGCAGATTGACCACAGAGGGATACAGATGAACGCCGCGCTACTGAAAGACAAGCATATACCAATGCAAAAAAGCACACAGTCACATAATACCCCACCCTCTTAACGTAGGTAAATAATAAACAATACAGTTCAACAAGTTGCTGGGCATCATCTGAGCCACACTCACAGATAATGGAAGCACAAAGCAGTTTAAGTTACTTACTCTGCTGCAAAAGCAGGCAGACAGAATGGCTGAGCTGACTTATAGCAACACGACTACCTCTCACCCTGCATATTGGTTTCGTTTGAACCAAGCTCTAACTTAAGCTGAGCCCACACAAGCATTAACCACGTTCACAGCAAACTTTGCACCACTTCAGGAGTGTTTTGCCTTGTGTGTGTGTGTCAAATCGAGCCTCAGCCGACTGGAGATGCCTGCCTTGTACGCAGAAAACCGAGGAACAAACTATTTCCACCATCCTGATTTACTGACTACATGCACAGGGTAAGGAACGTACTAAGCACACAGAGGAGGTCTCCAGTGCTTCAAGAGCTGTAATCCACCAGCATTAACTTAAAACCACCCCGAAGTGCAGTTCAGTGCGGAACGTGCCAGTCTGCTGAGGGACTCTTGCGTGTTCCATAACATCAGCTGTGCTACAGGAGGTACAATAACCACTACCACACAAACGGTAGCAGGCTGCCACAACCATTTGAAAAACTAACGTTATTTCTACAGCAAAACAAAGAAAAGTAGAATTCTCTCCTTACAGAAGGAACAGATGAAGTCTCTAAACAGCACAAATATTTTAAGTCCATATACCCACAGAGCAGTTGATATAGGACATGCCACCAGCAGTACAGTCAGATCACTGCAGCTAAAAAAAAGGTCACCTAAGCAGAGCAACATCCAGATACTGAATGGTTTCTTTGAAAATGACAGTATATAAAACAGATTTTCAGAACACAATATATCTATTTTAAAGCACAATTTTTCCTGGCTTACCGCAGGCGAAATTCCCTCACTTTCTTGAAAGTTTTCTGACACAAAAATGTTGAAGCCGCTACGAGGTCTTTTAGGTTTTCCAAGCACAGTCAATTCCTTTAAAAACAACAAAAAGAGTTACTCGATCTACCAAGCATGAATTTTTCCAAAACTGAACTTCCCATTTGCCTTTATGTTTTATACAAAAATCAGACTCAAATTCATTTTTTGGTGTTTTGTTCTGTGAACTGGACTGTACGTCAAGACGCTCTCACCACTTGACTAGGCGAAACAAAACTACTAAGAGCTAACAGCTTGAATTTTCAGATGTTAAAAAAAAAAAAGCATTTTGAAACTAATTCTTACTTCAGCTAAGTCTTCCAGAAACCAAAGACTGTTACTAAATTCCACTCAGTAAGAAAGTAACGACGACAGGTTTTCTATTGTCTTCGTAAGGCTTCGGTTTCTGGGGTGAAATACTGCATGCTTGCAGAGAGGAGGGCAGATACCCAACTTTGTGGGAGGTGAGAAGGTGGAACAGAACCAGCAGATTTCCAGGGAAACAGAACTAGGCTTCTGCTATCAGAATGTTTTGCCTAAAGGGATGATGGTGAGAGAGGGAAAGCACAGCAAGTTATGGATGCAATTACACTTCTTGTTTCCTCCAGCCCTGAGACATGCCCACTGCAGCCTGGGTGCTGCAAATTCACATCTGCTTAGGTATTAGGTATGACAGCTAAATTCCTTGTGGTGCCACACTCTAAAAGGGATCAGCAGAATCATTCGGATTAAAAACTTCCTCTAAGGAGGGGTCTTTTAAACCAAATTAATTTTACTTTTGCCAACTGAGGCAAAGTCACACCAGCAGTTTAATTCACAGAAACAAAAAAGTAGTAAGGAACCACTTCAACTTATTTTGCCACTGGACAAACCATAATATTGTACCTTTACAGATGGTTCTGTCTCTCAGAATTTATATATAAACCAGCTAAAAGGGAATAGGGAAGACGATCTGTATGAATAAGTCAATAAAGGACACTGAGAGATGTGCCTCTATGCAGCCCTAATTCAACACGTCAGCAGCTACATAGAGAGCAAACTGGCAGAATCCAAAGAAAGGAAGGAAAAAAGGCAACTTTAAAGAGCTACTCCCTTGTAGGGGCCACTGAAGTAACAGATACAAAGCCTTTGTGGAAAGGTATTTCTTTCTTTCCCAAGCAAAGAAAATGTTGCTGGTTCAAATGTCTTATTACCTATCATTTATGACCTGTTTTCTTCTCAGGAAGAAAAAAGCACAGGGAAGCTACCTCTAAGCATAAAGATACATACTAGTTCTGGTCTTCAAGCGCAGGAAAGCCACTAAAATAACAGCTAACACCAGCAATTATTTTAATCTACAGAGTTTTGAGGGGTTTGTTTGGGTTTGTGGTTAGTTTTTTTTTTATGCTGAGAGTTGCTTTTGTATTTCTGAATGCGCCTCAACTCTGCTCCATATATACGACACAAACAGTCTTCAGGCTCCTCGAGAGAAGAGAAACTTGAACTTCAAAACACTTACTCTTTTTTTCCTGAACGATCTTCTTTTTGCCAGTCGCCTTCTCCTTTCTTCTCTCAAAGCCTCAGCCTGGGCCGGAGTTAGCTGGGCTTTATATGCAGCCAACTGCTCTTCGTATCTTTTCCAGTCTGACTTTCGAGCTTCCTCATAAGCCTGCAACACAATCAATCACCACCCTTAAACTGATGCTTTCAGTCAGAAGCACTTGACCATTAAAAGAGCTAACATTTCTACTAATAAAAAAAGATTACAGACTACCCTGGAATGCAACATTTTTAAAGCAAAGTAGCAATTTCAGATCTGTTTGGTTAGCAGAATGGATTCAGAAGAACTCAGATTCTAAACCTGGGCTCTCCCCATGAATTATCTCGGTTTATCTTAAAGTGTGTATACCCACTGCAGCATGCAGGTGCCCCAGCCACCGAGCACATCCCTAAACCAGCCAAAACCAGGGACAGAAGCATTATAAACAAGCATTATTCTTGGTACTAGGGCACCAAGAGCAGCTGAGCCAGGCTACCAAGCATCCAGGTAGATCTGGAAAATCACCGTACTGTTCTCCATTTCAGACATATAAACGAAAAGGTATATTTTATACCAAGGCACATAAAGCCAGAAGTCCAAAAGGGATATAAGAGCACTTCAGTTCTATTGAGAAAATATATTATTTCAGCTAGAAAACAGTGATTAGTTCCTCACTGAATCTAATTGCTAACTGCAATCAAGATAGAACAATCATTACTCTGTTAAAAATGGAACTTATATTGGGCAATGATTAGCAATTCATAGAGTTGTTTTACATTATCCCTTGAAACTGTCACTCTTAAAGAAACTTCACTACCTATGACAAAAAGTAAGTGAGACGAAACTTAAAGTTATCTGT